GGCGGGAGCGGCGGGTTGGGACGCGCAGCGCGCCAGGTACAGCAGCGCGGCCCCGCTGCACACGAGGCCTCCGAGGCCCAGCACCGTTCGGCGCCGCCACGCGCGCCGAAACAGCTTCATCGTGGGCGGGTGCCCGCCGAGGACGCAGGCGCGGCGCCGACAGGGCGGCGCTTGCGCATAGCGCGTGCGTGCGGCTGCGTGGGGGGGCGGAACGCGTTGCTCGGGCCGTGAGTGGAGCCCGAGGCAGCGAACCGGGCGCGCCGGGATATGGGGCGCGGGCCCGCGGCGGCAAGGCGAGGCCCAAGCTGGCCGTCACGTGCCCGAGCGCGTCCTTCTCACTGGCCGTCTTCGGGCGGCTGCGCGGCTGCTTCCTCCCGGAGAAAATATGGCGGCGCCGGTGTCAGTGAGGGGCCGCGCCCGTTCGCCCCGCCCCGGCTGGCTTGCCTGCCTCTTCCCGAAAGAAAGATGGCGGCGGCCTGAGCTGAGCCGCTGCCGGCGTCGCGGGCTCTCCGCTGCGCTCTCTGGACCCGGCGCCGCGGGAGGCCGGTGAGTGGGCGCTCCCGGTACCGCCGCGCATTCCAGCCCGGGGCTCCGCGGCGCCGCGAACAGGGGCACGCCCGGGGGCCGAGGTGGTGGCCGCCCTGACCCGGGCAGTAGCTTCGGGGCTGGCCTCCTGCCTCCCCCGGTGTCTTCCTGCCAGAGCCCACGGCGCCGTGCGAAGAGAGACTGGAGAGAGAGGTGGCGGCTGCGGTTCCGGCCAGCGGGGCCCGGGCCCAGCGTCGCTGCCTCGCGTCGCGGGCGGTGAGATGGCGCTGTGACCCCTGGCAGCTGTGGCCGGCGTGCCCCCGGCAGCGGGTCTGGCGAGCGCCTCTAGGTTTGCCTCTGAGCCATCAGCGCTCGGAAACGGTCGTGTTTCGCCAGAACTGCGGCCGCGGAGTCCGCAGACCTCGGGATGCCTGCGCGCCCGCGTCTCGGGCGGTCGTGAGCCACCTGAGTTCCCTTTTCACCCCACCGCGTGATAGTGGCAAAGCTTAGCTTCCAGAGTAGGCCCAGGAGAAGATCAGCAAAAATAGCGAATAAGAAAACAGACGGTGGTGGCAGCGGACTGCGATAGTTACTAGGTGTGCCCTTTCTCTTAACGTGTCTAGGTAAATATTAGTATTTTGGGTCTGCAGTTGACTGCAGAGGCTGTGGCGCCCCTGAAGGTGTTTCCACCTTGTTTACAAATCAAGGGTTCATTAACTGCTTGTTGGAAACTGGCCAGCTGCTCCTTGAAATCCTGTCCTGTGGGGTAGGGAGACACTGCCAGGGAGCAGCTGCCCAGGTAGTTCAGTCCTGCTGTTGGTATCACCATGAGGTGACTGCTGTTAGTGGAGCGGGGGAGGGTTCACTCCTCATACCTGGTATTTGCAGTTATTTTGGCGTGGAGTACTGTTCTTTATTTTTTGGGGGGAACAGGGGATTGAACTCAGGTCCTTGCACTTACCAGGCAAGCTGTTATTCTACTGAGCCATCTCCCCGGCCCCTGCAGTTATTTTGGGTTATATTTTACATAACAGGCTGTAGTTAACTACTCTACATAATTCATCAAGATTAGTAGAATCAAGAACGGTCTATTCTTTTAAGAATAAAGTGCAAAGCAGATGTGACGCGCACCTAAAAATCCAGACAGGATGCTGAACCACAAGACTTGGAAGTCTGAGTCCAGCCTGGGGAACTTAGTGAAAACTCTGTCTCAAAATTTTAAAAATCGTTTTGAGTTGTAGCACAGTGGTCCTTGGGTTCAATCCTTAGAGCTGGTGTGTGTGTGTGTGTGTGTGTGTGTGTGTGTGTGAAGCAACCTTTATGGCAGTGGATACTGAGTTAATCAAGGAGGAATAGTCTTGGTTCTTCCTCATTGCTTGCCTGGCCGGAACTGGCCTGCAGGGATAGAGTCACACCTGTGGCAGGAAGAGACAGCTCTCAGCAGCTCTGAGAGCATGCAACAGCACATACTTTGGGCTTCCCTTCCTTTGGGGACCTCAGGTTTTTCTGGCTCCTGGAAGGCTGCATTTCTCCCTGAACCCATCATAAGGGAGCGTCAGACATCATCTTGGGCCTGAAAGTGAGTGGCTGCTGTTCGATATACTCAGTGGCGGCATTTGCTGAGGCTTCTGCGTGCAGTCAGCTGTGCATCCTCGCTTGTCTAGATCAGCAAGGTGTAGGGTAGGAAGCAGCTGTGACACACACTGGGCCCCAGTGCACAGAGTGCAGGAAAGACAGGAGGCCCTCGGTGCCCCGATGGACCACTCATATTTACCTGACTCGAGCCTCTGGAATGTGAGCAGGGTTGTGTGTGGGTACAGTTACGTATAGAACGGTGCTAGAGGCCAGCAAGCATCCAGATGCTTAGTGAAAAACTTGAGCCGGGAAGGTTAGGTGAGCTTGGCTAGCTCACAGACCTTAGGGTGCTCGGGTTGCACTCTGGAGAGTGAGTAGACATAGTCCTGTGGGAAGCATGTAACAGAGGCACAAGGTTGCTGGCAGGCTGCATGTGGGGGTCCTGTCCCTCCTGCAGTGTAGTGAACTTTGGCGGGAGACAGAGCTAGAAACAGTGTTTCGTTTGTTTCTTTTGTGGTTACTGAGGATTGCACTGAGCTAAATTCCCAGCACCCCACTTTTTTTGTGACAGGGTCTACTAAGTTGCTGAGTTGCCCATGCTTTATTCACAGTTTTGATTTTCCTGCTTCAGTTTCCCAGAGTGCTGGGATTATAGAAATGCACCACCTGGCTCTCAGTGTTGTTTTTGTTTTTGTTTTTTGTATTTAGTTCAGAGTCTACAGGATCTACAGGGTCTCACTACACAGATCAGATTATGATCCTCCTGTTTTCACCTACCAAGTGCTGGGATTACAGGCAGGTGCCACCATGCCCAGTTTCAGTCACCTTCTCAGTGTGCCCTGGGGATGGGCCTGGCTTGGCTTTTGTGCCCCTGCGTCCACCTAAGCGGGTGCTTTAATCCCGCTGAGCTATTTGGCCCACCGTAAGTGTTTTTATTTGGTACCGGAGTTCACTGTACAGCTCAGACTTGTAATGATCCTCCTGTCTCAGCCTCCCAGCCTCCCCAGTGCTGGGATTGCAGATGGGTACCACCATGCCCAGTTGTGGGCCCACCAAGGCACACCCAGGGTTCCAGGGCCAGCAAGGCATGTGGTTCTGGGGATCGAACTTGCACTTGCTAGGCAGGTGCTTAGACCACCAAGCTATATCCCCAGCCCTCCCATTGTTTTTTAAAAAAGAGAAAAATGAGTTAGTGTGATGGTGCACAGCTGTAATCCTAACACCTTGGGATGCTGAGGCAGGAGGATTGAAAGCATAAGCCTACTCTGAGAAATTTAGCAATTTAGTGAGACTCTGTATCAAAGTAAAAAATTGGGGGCTGGTGAGATGGCTCAGTGGTCTAAAGCACCTACTTGGAACAAACTTAGCAAAGCACAGGGACCGCGGTTCAATCCCCCAGCACCACATGCCAGCCAGCCCCGCCCCCTGGTGGGCTGAGCTGGCCACACACACACACACACACACACACACATAAATAAATAAAATTTAAAAATAAAATAAAATAAATAAACAAGGCCTTTTGTCTTGGGTTATAAAATAAGTATTTCCTGAAGTATTTGTACTAAGTGATGAGTCTTTGCTTTTATTGTAGACTCTTAACTGCTTGCTGGGATCAGAATCCTGTGCTGCCTGTCTTCAGCTTTCCAAGCAGTCAGCCTGTGGCTGTGCTGGCCCTCAGAAGCCTGGATTTGGGCTTCGATCTCCCTCAGAGCTCTGCTGGTCGCCATACCTGCACCCTGCCTAAACCTTGCCTGCTGCTTCACAGCCCAACTCCGTGGCAATGGCTTCTAGGTGCGCCCCCCTCTGTGGCCTGGCTGCACACTGCTTCTGGCTCCTGGTTTTCATCCTTCTGATGGAGGTGTCTGCACGGCCAGCCAATCATTCATCCACCCGGGAAAGAATAGCCAACAGGGAGGAAAAGGAGCTCCTGCCCCCAGACCATCTGAATGGGGTGAAGCTCGAGATGGATGGGCACCTCAACAAGGGCTTCCACCAGGAGGTCTTCCTGGGAAAGGACGTGGGTGGCTTTGATGAGGATGCAGAGCCACGTAGGAGCCGCAGGAAATTGATGGTCATCTTTTCCAGGTAGGTGTTTTGCTTGGGCTGTGTTTGCCTCCCATGACGGTGGCCATGGGGACTGTTGCAGGACATGCTGTGGCTGGGTATGGCCTGAGCAGAAGGTTGTGCTGGCACCCCTGTGTCCCCTGATACCCTGGACCAACAGGGACCTAGAGAGCCAGAGGTGGGCCTCGCAGTCTAGTTGTCTGCCATGGTTGGTTATTGGTCTGTCACGGAAGAGGTCACAGCAGTTTGCAGTATCATTGGCCAGGGACTGCCTGGGGCTAGCTGCTGCAGCCATGTTGACTCCTAGGGCTCTTCTGACTGCCTTTTCTGTGTGTTTGGAAATTCCTGTTGTCTGAGTCTTGTTGTCCAGAGTCCTACTCGTGCTCCCTTGTTAGACACAGTGTTAGGTCCCTGAGGTCCTCCCCTGCAATCCTGAAACTATACATGGAGTGATCGAGTGATACAGGATGTTGAGAACATGTTTGACAACCATGGTTGGAGGGGGTTGGGCGATGATTCTGCACGTTTGCTTTGAGGGACAGCTGCAGACAAAACTACCCACCTCCTCATGGTACGGGAGGCCCCTGCTCTCCTTCAGGTCCCCCTGTGAACCCCCAGGCCTTTGGATTTCTGTGTCCGTGCCAGGTCAAGTGGGTCACTATTTGTGGCCAGGTTGCAGCTGCCTGTGGAAGTCCAGGGACCAGCAGTGCCCATCTTTCTGTCATGGGTCTTGGGGGTCTTGTCTGACCTCTGCCTGCTGTCTGCCCACCTAGAGTGGATGTGAACACAGACCGGAGGATCAGTGCTAAGGAGATGCAGCGCTGGATCATGGAGAAAACGGCTGAACACTTCCAGGAGGCTGTGAAGGAGAACAAGATGCACTTCCGGGCTGTGGATCCTGATGGCGACGGTACAAGGGCCTGTGCCACCAACTGAGGCAGGAGGCTGCACAGTGGCAGCAGTGTATTGGTAGTGTATTGGACAGGGCACTGCACTGTAGGACAGGAAGTGCAGGAACCTGGGGCAGGCGGTCCCTGAGGCACAGGCTGGGTTCCGGCCTCCACCAGCATCAGTTCTTCATGCAGGATGATACTTGTTGAAGATGTAGGGTACACAGCAGCAGCCATGTGGGACCCAATTGTTTTCACTAAAAGAGGCCACGGTTTATCATTCGTTTAGGGTCCTTCCTTGGTGCTGTTCACCGTGTGCAGCCAGCCTGTGCCTCTGTTGACCCCTAGGAATGGGGGCTGCTACAGGTTGGAAAGTGGGTGCTGGGGACTAGGTAGGCCTGGGGGTTGGGCTCTGGCACTCCGACCCCAGAGCACTGCACTGGCAGGACAGTTGGGGCAGGTGAGTCCTCTGGCCACCCATGGCTCTGGAATTTTAAACATCCTGACAGGTGCCATCTGTCCTTTTAGGCCATGTGTCCTGGGATGAATACAAAGTGAAGTTTTTGGCCAGCAAAGGCCACAATGAGAAGGAGGTTGCTGACGCAATCAGAAACCACGAGGAGTTGAAAGTGGATGAGGAGAGTGAGTGCCATTGTCGCTGTGCTGGGCAGACGGGTGCCCCAGAGTGGTGGAGAGATGCCCGGCCAGGTGGACCAAGCTTGTCAGATTGTGTGAGGGAGCATGGGTCGCACACATTGTGGGGCGGAATGGCCCAGCAGGAGTGGACACTGCCTGCAGAGGGGAGGCAGCACTGAGGGCAGCACTGATGACCCTGCGGCCTGAGCGCTCCCTGGGTTTGGTAGAGCATCGTCCATCCGGCTGCTCTTGGTGTTTCCTCCGCCCGGTAAAGTTCTTTGGTGGCCATTGTCACTACAGGGTTAGGCCCTAAGCGGGACTCTAGGGCTCTAAGGCATAGGACGGGGTTCTGCCCCGCTAGAGGCTCAAGTCTGGTGCTCTGCTATGGAGGAAGGAGGACTCAGCATCTCAGTGCGTAGGTTCTATGAAGAGGGCACAGCCTGTGCCAAACCGTGTGACGGGGTGAGGGGAGGAGGAGGGCCAGAGACAGCGGAAGAGCACTGATAGAGGCAACAGCAGGCAGTGGGCCCCCCAGTGACCTTACCTCACTCAGGGCCCTCAGGAAGCCCTCACCTGGGACATCACAGCCACGGGGGTGGGGGTGGGGGTGGATGTGAGCCACGGTTGTGGCCCCTGCTGTCCCTGTGAACTTGTGATTCTGCCCCAGCCCTGGCCTGGTGTAGCCTGAGGTGAGGGCCTGTGGAGCTCTTTTCTGCTCAATCACTGGTCTGTCACTGCACTGTTGTCGCATGGGCCTGGCCGCACAGGATGAGTGCATGTGGCACCATGCTCTGTGCCCTTAGTCTTTGGTGTGCAGCTCACCTCAGCAGAACAGAGCCCTTTCTCGAGCACTGAGACCGCCTGTGGTCATTGTTTCCAGTGCTCATAGTGCCCTTGTGTTAGGCTTTTTTTTTTTTTTTTTTTTTGCGGAACTGGGGATTGAACTCAGGCCCTCGCGCTTGCCAGGGAAGCCCTTATTCCACTGAGCCATCCCCCCGGCCCCTCAGGCTTTTTTTTCTTCAAGTGAGGTCTGTGTGTCTTAGGCTGGCCCTGAACTCCTGAGCTTCAGCTGTCCTCCTGTCTCAGCCTCCTGAGCTGAAGGGACAGTAGGCATGGGCCACCATGCCTGGCTCCTACCTCTTTGCTAGGCTGCAGATCAGTACTGACACAGCACGGCTGCTTGCTGTTGGTTGTGATCAGAGGATGATGGATCTGAGACTGAGCCAGCCACTTCTTTTTTTTGAGGAACTAGGGATTGAACTCAGGCCCTTGTGCTTGCCAGGGAAACGCTTTACTCTACTGAGCCATCTCCCTGGCCCCAAAGCCAGCCTCTTCTGAGAGCCCCAGACACCAGGAATTGGTCACTGGCCATTGCGGGTCGCAGGGTGTGGGGACACAGTGTTTCCACCCAGGGCCCAGTGGGAGCTCTGTATGCAGTCAGTCATTTCTGGAAATGGGACTTTCTGCTGCACGTGGAAGAGGCAGAGGAACAAAACACACACCTTTGTTCCTACAGACATTGCTAAGGTGACTCAGCCTTACAGTTTCCATTTCTGCCAGGAACAAGCAGCTAGGGGTATGCCCAGTAAAGTGGGGCATCTGAGCTCATCTGGCAGGGTTCCTGGCTCTTGAGGGTCCTAGGCCATGTCTGTCCATGGGTCTGGACTGTGTCTTGGGGGTTCTGAGCCATGTCCAAGGGATTCTGGGCTGTGTTCAGAGTTCTGTGCTGTATCTGAGAGTCAGAGCTGTGTGTTTCTGGGGTTCTGGGCTTTGTTTCTAGGTTCTGGGTATGTCTTGGGAGACCAGTGGTGGGGTCAGAGCTGTGTTGAGGGGGCCTATGTTTCCCCTTCTGGGACCAGGCACTCTTAGGTGAGCTGTCCCGCATGTGGGCTCCCTGAGCTCAGCACTGTGGAACCTCCTCAATGTGTGTGCTGGTGCCTGCATGCCGGGTGCCCACAGTTAGGCATCTCTCAGCACAGGAAGTCCTCGAGAACCTCAAAGACCGCTGGTATCAGGCAGACAATCCCCCTGCGGACCTGCTGCTGACAGAGGATGAGTTCCTGTCTTTCCTTCATCCGGAACATAGCCGAGGCATGCTCAAATTTATGGTCAAAGAGATCGTCCGGGACTTGGGTAAGGCTGTGCCCATGCAGGCTGTGTCATCCCACTCCTGTCCAGGTGTCCAAGCAGGGCCTTTAAGAGGTGGCTGGCTGATGTGGGCATTTCCTTGCCAGTGTCTCCTGTGAGGCACTTGCGTGTATCTCCCACTCCCCACCCTGTATCCACAGACCAAGATGGTGACAAACAGCTTTCTCTGCCTGAGTTTATCTCCCTGCCTGTGGGCACCGTTGAGAACCAACAGGGCCAAGACATGGATGACAGCTGGGTCAGAGACAGGAAGAAAGAGTTTGAAGAGCTGATTGACTCCAACCACGATGGAATTGTGACCATGGAGGAGCTGGAGGTGAATGAGGGACTGTTGCTGAGACAAAATACCCCACACCCAGAGTTAAAGGAGGGAACATTTGTTGGGTTTTAGTTCATAATTGGCTGGTTACAGGGCAGGGTGGCATTTCAGAGGAGTGTCACAGAGGAGAAACAACTCATGGTGGGCAGCAAACAGGAAGGCAGCAAAACATCAGAGTAGTTCTCAGTAAGCAGCAGCTGTTCTACCCGGGCTGCCCACCTTCAGGCCAGGTAGCACTCACATTCCAGGTCTGAGTGTCTGCCTGCCCAGAACTATGGCAAACCAGTCAGCTATGACAAACTAATTTAGTGATCGTGCACTCTTAGTTCCAGCATCACACACTCCAGTTCAGCCACTTCTGAAAAGTCCCTCCTATGACCCTCATGACGCTTGAGGGGGCATCTAGACACAGGCTGTAACAAGTCCTTGTGTTCTGAGGACGGCCAGCCCATCCTTCTGCCTTCAGCTGGACACAGCACACCTGCCGAGAAAAGGGAGCTGGGGTGAGGGGGCTGCTAGGTGCTGACAGTCTGGGGGGGGCACCTGCTCATCTGCTTGCTCAGAGGACCCAGGGCCACGTAGGTTGGTGTTTGTGCTCAACAGGTTGGGAGATGAGAACCCAGCAAGTCCCCATTTCTGACACTTGGCGACTGGGCCTGGAAAGCGGTTTCCACTGTGTCCTGCAGGGCAGCACTGCCTGTGGGGGTTATAGAGTTCTTTTCCTTTTTGTTTTTTTGGTGCTTGGGCTGGAACCTGGGGTCTACACGTGCCAGGCAAGCCCTGTGCCCCTAAGCTGCACTCAGCCTCATGTTGGGGTTCTTATGGGACTAGAAGGGGACATGTTAGCTCCAGTACTTGAGCAACCACTGGGCTGGCTGCAGCTGTGAGGAGCTTGGGGCAGGGCCGTCCTCTGCCATGTGGGTTGAAACCTCCACCCCTGCCTCCTAACTGTTTCCATTGAGCTTCTGCGTGGGTGCTGCCTGGGCTTGTTTTTCCTTCTGTTGAGTGAGTCATTTAGGTTTACACCAGTCCCTTATGACCCCTCAATAGCCAACTCAGGCGTGGTTAGGGTTGGAGGTCTCATTGGCCCCTGGGTCTTGGCAGATAGCTGGACCCTGCCTGCCCACTGGCTAAGTCAGTCTCTGTACTCAGGGCCCCTTGTAGGACCAAGCTGGTATCCCTCCAGAACATATCCACAGCCCAGCCTATAGCTAGTCCAGCATTTTAAAGCAGGACCTGCTTCTGTGTGTGGTTACTGTAGAATCTGCAGAAGCAGAAAGTACCATTTTTCACCCTGATGTGGTGGTGGTGGTGTCTTTAGACCATGTTTCCAAGGACAGGGCAAACCTGGGCTGGACCCATGAGGTGAGGTGTTAGGGCTCGCTAGGAAAGGGCTGTTGATCACACCTGGCTCCACTGCAGAGCTACATGGACCCCATGAATGAGTACAATGCCCTCAACGAAGCCAAGCAGATGATTGCCGTTGCTGACGAGAACCAGAACCACCACCTGGAGCCTGAGGAGATCCTCAAGTACAGCGAGTTCTTCACGGGCAGCAAGCTGATGGACTACGCCCGCAATGTGCACGAGGAGTTCTGAGGGCCGTGGCCCCGCAGCCCCCTCAGCCCCAGGGGCCATGGACCAGCGTAGCAGGGCCAGTGGCTGCCCCCTACCCAGGGCCATCCCAGAACTTCCCTTTTGCTGCTGCCCATGACTGTGTGCTTGGGCTCAGCTGGGGCCGTGCTGTGTCCTGGTTTATTAGAGGTGTGCTTAGCAGGCTGTGCCCCTCTGCAGTGCCTGTCCCTGTGGGCTCCCTCCCACCTGGTTGCCTAGCAGTGTCTTGTGTCCTGTGTCCTGCCACTGCTGCTGCTTTTGAGAACTGCTGAGCCCTGCTGAAAATGCTGACCATGTCGGTGTGTGGAACTGTGGGGCAGCCACTGTGGGAAATCACTTAGCTCCTGCCGTTTCTTTGAAAACTGAAAGATTAAGATGAAACGAGAAGCACTTTGCTGGAAATGAGTAGCCAGGCAGCGCGGAAGGCGCCGCCTCCTTCCTGGGCTGGGGCTGGGGCTGGGGTGCGTGGGGTGGGGTCCTCAGCTTGTAGTCTCTGAGAAAGAGATTTGTCACAGGAATCATTAGTTCACTTTAAAATACAGTTGCCTTTTTCTCACCGCTGTATTCTTCTGGTGAAAAATTTGCGGCCAGGTGGCTTCCACTAGAAGCCTTTGAGGTGGGTGATCTGGTGGTAGAGGGGTTTATAGCTTTTGCTGAATGTTTTGATTTTTTTCAGAGATAGAAGTGATGCTGGGACCTGCTGGCTGCGGCTGGCCCACCTGAGGCCTGTAGGGAGCAGAAGGGGCTATGCGGGGAGAGGCTTCTGCCGACTCCAGCAGAGTCAGATTTGGGGTTAACGTAGGCCTGGGCTACACTGCTGCACGTGGGGCACCCATCTCCTGGTAGGTGGTGGCTACCCATACCAGTTCTGACCTCAGCAGAGGTGTGGCCCTGCCCATGGGCTGTTCCTGTGCCGTGTGATGGGAGCTGCGTGCCCTGGAGCTGTGTTGCTACATGGGCTGGTTTCCAGATAAACAAGACTTCAGATCCCAGGCTGGGTGTGGTGGTGGGAAGGCAGTGCCTACACCTGGGCTTTAGGCTACCCTGCCAGCCATTGCTGCCAGCCCCTCTGCTTGGTTGTGGCCTTGGGCTGGGAGGTTCACGGCTGTTGGTTGTCTTTTTTAATTTGTGTGTGTGGGGGGGCGTCTTGACATCCAGGACCTGCCCGAGCGCAGTGTGGACCCAGAGGTGTGCGTTGTATGCAGGTTGCACAGGGTGCGGCCTGCCCCACCCTTCAGAGGCTGTTGGCCTCTGGTGCCCAAGGGGTAGTAGTTTGTGGGGCTGGGTGAGCCTGTGACCCAGTTGTGCTGAAGGGAAGTGTCGGACCCTTCCCTACTCCCTGGTACTCTGTCTTCTCAGAGATCTGGGGGCCCTGCATGGACACACCAGGGTCACAGGAGGGGCTGTGCCCCACACAGACCCTTGGAAGGTGGTTCGGGGCACCACAGGTTGCCTGTCGACAGATGCTGGCTACTCTGCAGTGCCAGAGGGAGCAGAGACCAGAGCTGCAGCCAGGAAAGGAGGGGACGCCTAGTAGTAGGGGCTGCATATGAGCACCTTGGGCCTCAGAAAGACCTTTGACAGAAGGAGGATTCCATCGTGTGGATGGTGGGGTATGAGCTGGGTGGCCCTTCCTCGAGGGCATTTGTGTACGTTGCTATGTGGCTCCTATCCACCTGGGGCTTGGAGAGAATAGCTACAGGGTGGCCCCTCTGCCCAGCAATGGCCTTTCGTGCCCTGCCAGCATGGCATATTTGGGAATTTCCCCTAGGTAGGCCAGGGCCTCTGCTCTCACCTGCGCCCCAGGGGGTGGGGAGTTTCCAGCCTCTCTCTCTGCTCCTCCTGGGAAGGAGGCTGGGGTCCTCATGGTAACCGTTCCCATTAACTTGGGGCTGGGTGACCTCCTCAGGGCCATGGAGGCCCCTCACTACCTTTGGCTCTGGTTCCTTAAGGGCAGCGTGGTACCGGTCTGCACGTAAGAAAGTGTGTGTGTATGTGTTGCTGCGCCTGCATGGGTGTGGTGTGTGCATGCGTGCGCCTCTCATACCTGTGCGCCCCCTAACTTGCCAAGTGGTGTGGAACTGACCAAGACCATGCCAAGGACAAGATTGCACAGGGGTGCCCATCTTTCTGTTCCTTTTTTTTGTGTGTGTGTGGGTGTTCAGGGTCTCACTACTAGATTGGAGTCGAAGTGATCCGCCTATTTATAGCCCCCTAAGAGCTAGGATTACAGGCGCACGCTACCACGCCCAGACTAGTTCCTACAGGAGTTTGCTGACAGCTTTTTTAGTAGCAGCCTTGGCCTGGCCCTGTTCCCTAGGTTTCTGGGGCCCAGAGTTTTCCAGGAAATAGCCTGGCTATTGAGGGGACGCACATGTACATGTCCGAGTGTGTGTGTGCGTGTGAGAGACACACATGGATGGACGGATAGGGACACACATTCATCCGCCTGCACAGCCTGAGCGTATTCATGCACCTTCCTCCCGCCCCTCCTTGCCCCTCCCCCAGAACCCTTATAGCCGCATCCTGCAAAGAAAAACCCCAGACTCCTGTGAATGCAGCTGAGGATGTGCGTGGGGGCCTGTGCCCTCCTGCTTCTGGGGCTGGTGCTTGGTGCCACGGCTGGGCACAACTGTGTTGGGGACACCTATTATAACGGCCACATGTGCTGTCATGACTGCCAACCAGGTGAGTGACCAGGCCTCAGGCTAGGGACGTGGTAGTGACACAGGTTTGGTGTCCTGGGGGTGAGTGGATGTGGCCTGCCAGGAGGACCGGGGCTGGGGGCGGGGCCAGCAGCTGAGCCTCTGTAGGCCCAGGCTGGTTTCAACATGCCTGACTCAGCTCTGCTTCAGGTAACAGGATGGTGAGGCGCTGCAAAGGCACCATGGACAGTGTGTGCCGTCCATGTAACCCTGGTTTCTACAATGAAGCTGTCAACTATGAGGACTGCAAGCCGTGTACACACTGCAACCAGAGTGAGCCCCCCAATTCCTTAGTCCTGCCCAGCGAGGGTGTGGCACAGAGGGTACCCACCTTCCAGGATCCTATAGAAAAAAGGCCAGACATCAGCAGGCTGCCCTCCCTCTGACCCCTGGAGCAGGGAGGGCTCTCCCAGGCAACACCTGCTCTTCTAGGGCCGTGTGGAGGCTGTGTGGAGCAAGTGTTGGCCACATGGCCTGTCCTGAACTGGGCAGGGCAGAGTTGGGACCTTGGAGGTCCCAGGTGCTTTGGGATGTTCCTCAGGTCATGTGATCAGGAGAGGCAGAGGACAGAAGAGGGCTTTTTGAGGGGAAGGCGGGGAGCCCAGGGTCTCCCTGCAGTCCTGCAGAGGGTCCTGGTGTGAGGCTGAACTTGCAGTGATGGCAGGCAACCTTACCCTCCTGGGCCCTGTCCAAACCCCACCTGATCCCCCAGAAAGCGGGAGTGAAATGAAGCAGAATTGCACGGTCACGCAGGACACTGTCTGCCAGTGCAGGCCTGGCACCCAGCCCCTGGATGGCTTCAAGCATGGAGTTGGTGAGCCTGAGGGCAGCCCCGGGAAGGGCAACATGTTTGCAGGGTTACAAGTGTGCATGGCCCCTGGCTCTTCAGTCATGGCCTTCATGTAAATGGGCCATGTCCCCACTTCACACACTGCTCCTGGCCCGAAAGGCTGGGCCAAGCCTGGACTACTGTGGGCTCCCTGGCCAGGCCCAGTGTCTGAATGTGGACAGGGAGGGGTCTCTATAGCCCCAGTCTCTGTTTTCCACTCTCCATGGGGTGGGCACCCAGCCCCATGGGCCCCACCTTAGCGGCTGCAGTGTCCAGGCTCCTGGCACAGTCAGGCAGCTGAGAATCTGATTTCTACTGCAGACTGCAAGCCATGCCCTCCTGGATCTTTCTCCCTGGGCAGCAATCAGGCCTGTAAGCCGTGGACCGAGTAAGTATCAGTGAGAAAAGGGTACTGGAAAGGCCCAGGGACCTGGGATCAGGAGCTGAGTATGGGTCCTGGATATGCAGTCGGCCTGGTCTGGGGTCAGACAGCTGGTGGTCAGGGAGTTCTTGGGGTCTGTCCTTTTAACAACAGCCTTGCAGAAGTTCCTGTGGATGTAGTTGTGTGCGTGTGAGGCACCCAGCAGGGCCAGAAGTGTGTGTGTGTGTGTGTGTGTGTGTGTGTGTGTGT